TGTAATAATTGTTGTACAGAAACATTGACCAACAATAGGATTGTGTTACAATTTTGGTATATTTAATGTATATTGTATATATGTATAAGGATTATATGTAACTCCTTAAAGAGTTTTATGTTTTCAAACATATTGGCCAAAATTGTTTTAAGTTTTCTGCATCCTATATATTTATCTGAAGGTAATTGTTATATGAGAACCGTAGTGTAGTTAAGTTGAAAAATAATAATAAATATTAGCTTATTTGGTCAAAGGAAGATATAATATGTTATAAAAGAGACATAGGTTATCATGGACCACCTTTACAAATGGTCTATGATATACTTTTTTTGTTCGATGTTAAATTCATCTCATTTATATATTCATATATAATATAGATTATTTGTATTAGCTTTTTTTTTTTTCCATCTTCCACTATCTCACTTTTATTGCTTTTGTATCAACATATTTATTGTATAAATTCATTCTTTCTGTATAAAAATTCTATAATTAATTATCATTGTATCATGTATTATAAGACAAAAATAATAATTATTATTCATCTTTAACTTTGTGTTATAGCTTAAAATTAAAGAAGTTTTGTTGTAAAAAATACTTGGTTGTTAAAATATGAAGATTCTTCTTTGTTCAAAAAAATACTTGGATAGTTTCTTGAAAAGACAAATCAAAGAATACTTATGGAGTTATTTTATAAGGTTATTATACAAGCATACTCCACAATGATAAGATATTGTCCGCTTTGGGCCTTAGCCCTCACGGTTTTGCTTTTGGTCATCACCCAAAAGGCCTCTCAATCATTGAAGTATGTTTATGCTATATAAGTTGTTATTTGTTATCTTATTTTATCGATGTAGGACTTATTAACAATCCTCCCCTCAAATAAGGGACCTAACCTTTCATGGCCGAGTCCAACCTGCGGCTCTGATACCAGAGATGGGGTTATTTTTATGGTATTTGTCTGAGGGGATGTTTTATGAAAGTTATTATACAAGCATACTCCACACAATGATGAGATATTGTCCGCTTTGGACCTTAGCCCTCACGGTTTTGCTTTTGGTCATCACCCAAAAGGTCTCTCAATCATTGAAATATGTTTATGATATATAAATTGTTATTTGTTGTCTTATTTTATCGATGTGAGACTTGTTTGTATCCCAACAGTAACAACCTGGAAGATTACTACACTTAATGTAGCACAGTATTATACAGTAAAAAGAAACATAAGTTAAATTTTATACAAATTCAGTAGAGACATTATTTTTTATATAATTTAAAATGTGAAGTAATTCTACCTATTCTAGTGACAAAATTGAATACTTGAGATTCAATTGATCTTGATTTTTTTTGCTTTTTTTTAATTTTTAAATAACGTGTATAAATGAGATTCATGAAAAATCATTTTGTACTAAAAGTGAAAATTGATAAAATTTCATAAACTAAAATTAATAATATATATATATAGAGAGACTAAGTGTGTGTTTAAAAAAATTATTTTTCAACTTTAACTATTATTTTGAGAAAAAAGTTTGTTTGTAAGATTTCTCATTTGACACAACAACTTGATTTTGTAAACATTTTTTTTTAGAAAAATAAGTTATTTTTATAAATATGAAACTTTTTATTTTCTAACCATTATTGTTAATCAATAATAATAGCATACAATAATAATAGCATACCATAATAATAATAATAACATATTACATATTTAATTCTCTTTTTGTGCATATAGAAACGTGCATGTGCGATGGAGAAGATGGTAAACTAAAAAAATTAAATATTTTTATAATTTGTACAATTAAAAACATGTCTTTAATTTATGAACTTTGTTTTTAGTCTTTGAGCAATTTTTTTTTGTATTTTAGTTCCTAAAAATTTCCTTTATGAACAAAAAATCTTAGCAATAAGGACAAAAATTATTGATGAAAGAAAAAGTTTGTACTAAAAGTGAAAATTGATAAAATTTCATAAACTAAAATTAATATATATATAGAGAGAGACTAAGTGTGTGTTTAAATAAATTATTTCTCAACTTTAACTATTATTTTGAGAAAAAAGTTTGTTTGTAAGATAAGTTTTCTCATTTGTCACAACAACTTGATTTTGTAAACATTTTTTTTAGAAAAATAAGTTATTTTTATAAATATGAAACCTGTTTATTTTCTAACAATTATTGTTTTTTTTAAACTAATTTACTCCATAAAATTTGAATTTTTTTTTTGTTGAACGTAGACATAATTAAATATAACAAAATCATTTTTCATCAAATTTATTCAAACAAAGATTTATTTTTTATAATTAATTATAACAATAATTAATTATATATAAAATCAATTATTAAAATAATCTAATTTTTACGAGATTCTCAAATACAGTTTAAAAGTGAAAAATTAACAAAATTGTAAATACTAAAATATTTAATCTTAAAAATATTTCATTTTAGTTCCTATAATAATAGACAAAAGGTTAAAAAAACAAAAATATTATATTTATAAACACTAAAATAAAATATTTTTAAGAATAAGAATTAAAAAAAATAACAAAATTATAGAGATAAAAATTTATTTAAATAATATACATATTAATTAGTAGATTAGTTAAATTGATGGTATGTAAATTATTTTGCAGGATGTAAATTATATAATGAAAAAGAAAGGTGAAGAAGCTGTGAGCTTATCTTTGTCATGACTAATGAAAATGGTACTAGTTCACGGTTCTACCAATCAACTGACACACGATCCTTTAAATACCCAACCAGAGAAAAGATAAAAACAGAAGGACCTGTTAAAAACAACATGCAGAAACAAACAATGTGTTATGGTGATATCATAGTACGGGTTTCAGATAGCCAGCTACAACCTTTTGGAATGTTGCTCTGAGCAAAGATTGGGAAACCCAATTCCAAATATCCGAGACCTCAATGTAAATTAAATAACAATTTTGCTGAGACTCCATAAATTTAACTCTTTCTCCCTCTCGTCAGATTCTTCTCAGTTCAACAGATTGCGCCAGAGATGGTTGATGACTACTTTTTAAGATACCTCATCAACACTTATCTCTGACGCCAAAATTTTGAGTCTATATTGGATGAATACCCAAAGGCCCATCAATTCAACTGCTTCATCCAATCAACTTATTTTCGATGCACACTCACATGAATTACCAACTTATAATTAAGTTGTTGTAGCCACCTTAACTCGTTTCATATATGTCATGCATTTGAAAATTGAGATGAAGTTCATATTTCAATTAACAATTAATTGAAATTTGTTTTGTTTCCCTCAATTATATATCTTCCTTCAACAACAATTTTGTTTTGTATATGTTGTTTGACATTTTAAAAAATTAACATTTCTATTGAATTAAATTTTAAAAATATTTTAAATTGATTTAATAATTATATATCAAAACAATAATGTTTTACTAAGACATGAGTTTTTTTTTATATATATATAATCACTAAGATCCTCTTAATAGTAAAACAATTAAAAATTTTAGATTTAAATATTGTTGTCATTGTAATTTCTTTGATAAAGAAACTTTAAAAAATTCTCTTAAACATTTATCTAAACATTCTCTTAATCTTTTTAAATGGATCTTTTATTATTTTTTAACTTTGTCTCTCATAGTTTTCACTATATGAATGAATTTGTAAAAGTAGCATATAAATTAATCGAAACTGTTAAGTTAAAAATTGAAAGTTGAAAAATTAAAAATTTTAAATTAAATGATTGAATTAAAAATATTTAGTAAAATTTATCAATAAACAATGTAAACTAACTTAAAAGAACTTAGTTATTTGAGTGGTGTCGAATATGAAATTTTGAAACTTGGTCTGTGACATTACAAGAGACCAGCTAGGTATCGGCTAGATCAACCTTGTTGGTATATAATTGAGATAAAGGTCCCAGCAACGGTCATATCGCCACAAATGTTGTTGTTGGTCATCTTCATGTACACTAAATATAAAAGTCAAAATTTTCCATCACATTAAACCACTCAATGTCCTATGTTTCAAATGTTTCTTCTTGACAATTATGTTTTGGCCTATATTTCACAGAAACACTGTTTAAATCAATTATACTAAACCAAACACTCCTTCTTTAGTTACACATCCAAAAATGGTTTTCATAAAATACAATCCAAACATATAAAGGACATCAAGCAAAAGCCATGACCTCAAGAGATCAACAAGTTCATGCCATCCAAACAAACACTAAATGACACAAAGGATTTCCTAATGTTCGTCCGGCTAACCTAATTTGGGAACTTATAGTTTTGATGAATTTAGCAATGTTGTGTTACATCATTTTCAATCACATACACACTTTAAAAGTAAATGAAGTTTAAATTTGCATGACAGTTCAGCTAATGAATTGACTGATCAGAATATACTTTGATAATTCCGTTGATTCTTCTAACAAATACTTGCAATACACATATTAATACTGTAGTTTCTCCAATACAGTTTAAAATTAATTGGGACTTGTTATATTATGAGTCACATTATTACACAATGTGAGAGTCTAGTTATGAAACAGGTTGTTTTCTTAATCTTAATTAATTTTAAAAATAATGTGTTATTAGTATTTCTCATTATCTTTAATTACATGATTCTTTTATTTTTTGGATTGACATCTCTCGATAAATGTTTATTTATACACACAAATTAGTGACTAATCTCTTACTTACATGATTAAAGGACAAAATTATCTAATAAATATGTTACAGTTTGTTATATGCAGCTTAACAGCTGATATTTAGGATTTTATTTTAATTTTTTCTAAATGTTCTCCTTAGTCCTAATTTGATATTTAATCAGTGTCAAGCTTTAAACATGACAAGATTATTCGTTTCCCATAACTCTAGTCAGCCTTTATGCACCTGACACGCACCTGACTTCAATCATTTTGATTCTAAGAAATTGATTAATGGTGACATACAAAATACTTAAGTTTGGAAAATTCTTGGGCATTAATAAGCTTCAGAATATAAGCTACTATCAAGCTAATCAAGTCATTTTTAGAACCAGATTCGTTTTAAACTGATTCCCCTCTCAGAATGTGGGCTGAAGCAAATAAAATCTTCTTGTAGTACTGCTTCATTTCGTGGTTCCAAAGCAAATGGGTCACAAGCCCTTCCAACTTTTGCCAATTCAAATTCCCTAATTAGCTTCGAGTCACTAACCTGAGCTATATATAAGCATAGCACTAGCTGCATGTTCTCACACAACCTTTCCCTTCAACTCAAAACTCTTTGTTCTTTCTTTTCTAACTAGCAAAGTGCAACATTGCAATCTGCAATCCCTCTTAGGCTCATACCATCATGGCCTCAAGCTCTCTCAAACAAAAGGCTTGTGACTCCTCTTGGACACCAAAACAGAACAAGCTGTTTGAAAAAGCACTTGCAAAATATGACAAGGATACCCCTGATCGCTGGCAGAATGTAGCCAAAGCAGTTGGTGATAAATCTGCGGATGAAGTTAAGAGACACTATGAAATCCTCTTGGAGGATCTCAGGCACATTGAATCTGGCCGTGTTCCTCTTCCTAAGTACAAGTCCATAGGAAGCAGTAGCTGTGTTGATGAAGAAGAGAGGTAATGCATCCTAAAAAAGCCTCTATTTCCATCATTCTGATACACTATTCATGCATGAGTATGTTTGGATATAAGTTAAAAGTACTTTTCAAAACTTCTTTATTGAAAATAAGGAGTTATTTTTAGTAGAGAAACTCTCTGAAACACTTCTTAGCTTATATTCAACCAGACTCTAATGCATGTAACTGCCTTTTCACGGTCCCTTCTAAATTCTTATCTTTCTCATGCATGCATTATTCCAATCTTTGTCCCTCTTTAATATATAATGTGAGACAAAGGGGGTTGACTTACGTTGTAGCCTTCCAACATAAAGATAAAGATCATTACAATATAGTTGCAAAAACCATATTTAATACAAAACAATTCATCGCACAAATAAAAAGAAGCTGCAGCTAATAACTTATGCAGCATTGCCCTGCAACTAGGTCACTAGACAGGAAGAAGAAAAAGAAGAGACTATTAACTAAAACTCTGAAACCATTGACATTTTTTTTAAAACTCCGAATATTTTTATAAGGTAACTTGGTTCCTGAAGCACCATTTTCTTGCACCAATGAGACATAAAAATTACTTTTTATGCGCCACAAATTTCTACACTCGATTATTTAGCAACCTATTCAATATTTTAATGCAATTAGGTATTGTTGCTTTTATTTAATACAATTCTTTATGTAATACTGGTTTTTGAATTTTTGGCATTACTGATTACACTGATCCAATTCATGGAACAAAATCTTGTTGCATGCACTGCTTAATTGTAGTGACTATATTAACTGTGCAAATTCAAAATTTTCAAGTTTCAATGGTTAAAATTTAAGTATTTATTTATTGAAAGATATAACTCAAATTCTGTAATAATAATCTTGTTTTTCCTTTGCTGGAGCATTATGCCACATTGAATAGCTTTCCGAATGATCAGAACTAGGAGCAAGATAAAACATGTGGTCATAAACTAAAATTAACTTATCCTAACCTAATGAGCAGAGCAAAAACAAGAACCTAAAACTTCTACTACAATCAGACTGATGAGTAACTTTCACTTGGATAAACCACATGGTCATTTTGTGACAACAAATTGACTGAGTCATACCAAACAAACGTGTTCTCTTCTACACTAATTTTGTCACAATTTTCTGTTCTTGTTCTTTTGATATTTTCTTATATATCTGTGTTATTTATTTTAATTAATTATTTGGTTGTCCCAGGCTTCTGAAGTATCTTAAACTGAATTGATGGGAAGCAATGTTTGTGTTATATCCCAAGTTAATGGCACCATTTATGTGGTGTTCCGTGAATTTCCGGAAACATCTTCCTCGTTGTCTCTTTCTATCTTGTGTTTCTTCTCTATTTCCTGCTATCGTAATTTAGTTTGTTTCTAATTTTCAATGAATTATCCTATTCTAGAAACACTATCAGGTTCTTAACTAGGATATTCTTCATGTCCTATCGACTCTCCACCTTAAAAGGATTAATAGATATCTTGGGTGAAAATCCACTTTAAAGAAGAAAAAAAATCAAACCTGGTATTTAGTATTATTTTAACAGTAAACTCAACTGAAATATAAGCCTAATTCCACCACCTAACAATTATTATACGGTTCAGACTAATTTTCACATAAATATAATTATATTTTTAAATTTATGAAAAAATAATTAATAATGTGTTACATGAGAGTTTATATTATTTTCAATCGTGTAACAATTTCATCACTAATGAGACTAAGGAGATGTTATAAGATGATTACTATATTGTATAAAAGAAGCTGCTTCAGAATTCGTAATAATAAAAAAGAAAATAAAAAACGAAAAGTGAAGTGACTTAATTTTACTGTATACAATAGTATCAGCCCATTAATATTCCCTCGTACAAATCAAATCAACGCAGTTCTACCTCACCGTCATGTGAACCATTTGTTCTTGTTCAAGGTTGTAATGACTTCAACTTGAATGAGGTTTCATAATCTCAAACCCTTTTAGTTACACATTATGGATTTTTGTTAGAATTGAGTTTTAGGCTTTTGGTAGAAAGTTGCTTCAAGAACTAAAGTAAACTGGTATTTATATTAAACGTACGAATTTGTTGAGCGTGAATTTATGGATCTAACACATTTGAAAATGCTAATGATCACTATCTATATATATGAGTTATGATGCTTATGCTAAAAAAATTAATGACATGTGATCTGATTATAGATTAAATTATAGATATAGTCTGACGAACTAAATGTGGATGTTTAATCTACGTCTATTCATTTTAAGGTATATTATTATTGTTTCATTCTCATCATTTAGAGAATATAAATATATTATGAATGTCTAATTTGATAGAAGGAATCAAGATAAAAGACATTTAATTTAATAAAAATATTATATCTAAAAGGTTTAGTATCAAATAAGAATGTGTACAATCACCTTAATTGCACAAACTTGAATTAACCTACCTCCATCTCTGGAGGAGTTGTATGAGGTGGAAGTTCCACATAGGTTTTGAAGTTGAGCCTTTCCAACAATGGAGCCTAAGGACTAGATTGGTTTAGATAAAATGACTAGCCTACTATGGACATTTATAATTAAGGATTTGATGATATAAACAAGGTCTCCCATCATTAACAAAAAGGAGAAACAAGAGTTTACAAAACACACATATTCCATTACAGCAAAACCATGAGAGTAAAACCTCAAAGTGAGCAATATTTTATCAATTTAGAGAGTTTTGTGTAAATAACTCAATAACCAGACAAAAAAAAATATAATTCTCTTCTTAATAAATATATCATCTCTCAAACAAGTATAAAATATAAATCTAACAATGATATCAGGAAAAAAAATACAAAGATAGATTCTGTTAAATAGGATGTTAGGTCATTTGTTTGAGAGGAAATTTGTTATTTGTTATGATACAAACAAGGTCTCAATTTGTTAAAAAAAAATTTATAAATCACACACATATCTCGTTGATCAAAGACTTTTTGTCTGATGACTAAAAGTAAAACTATGAAGGTAAAAGCCTAAAATGAACAATATCTTACTAATATGAAAAGTTGTGTGTAAATACCTCAATAATCTAACAAATAAACAATAAGATATAACTCTCCTCTTGATAAATATATTCCCCCTCAAACAAGTAAAAAATATAACCCTAACAAGACTATTATGTGATACCCTAATATCCACAAATTTAAACATAAGACTCACCCTTGGGAATTGTTTGAACCATAAGTCCACTAGCTAAGGAACCTAAGGACTAGATTGGTTTAGGTAGGGCAACTGACCTATTACAAACACTTGTAGGAACAGGTGTCCCAGTTGAGGCTAAAGAGCTACACTAACCTAGGCGCTCCTTCTAGGGCCAATATTTCAATCGTGGAATTGTTGACATCATTGAAAGTTATTACATTTAAGATATTATCTATTTTGGTCATCATTGGGTCATCACAATTTTGTTCTTAAAAAGATTCTTAAGTGAAAGAAGAGTGTTTGTAGACTATATCTCGACTTCTAAGCGATATAAGATTATTTAAGTACATCAAAATATTGAAACTAGAAGGAGTGTCCAAATCACTTTTGTTTCTTAGCCTCAATTGAAATATGGTAGTTTATAAACATTTTTCTCTTTTAATTCACCCAAGTACTTTTTCAAGAATATGATTATGAACTACACAATAAGCATAAAAGCAGACAATGATATTTCATATTTGATTATCTTAGCGATGTCAACTAACATATAGTTGAAATATGAAAAACAACGCGTGGTCCGAAACTCAAATGCCTTGCGAGCCGGACTTCTAGAGATGAAACGACTTTGGCAAGGCCAAGTCAGTTTCGAGTCACCGAATCCTGCAACCTATGGACGGCCTGTGGAGTGGAGTATAGGGAAGTGTGTATGTTGTGACGCTCCTTGCCTTCGAAAGGTACATAAAAAACAGGCCATAAGACGCGTTTATTTGAAAAATTCTCTTAGCACGATTATTGTCGTCCAATAGATAAAATAGGAAAATTTTCAATTGAATATCAAGGTAATTTTAAAATTAAAAATAGCTGCGTTGGAAGTGTTGATGGACTCTCACGTGTCTTATAAGGTTGTATATTTGTTCTTTTGTTAGATTCATGATTGCTAATCATGTGCCATAAGGTTGTATATTTTTTTTTTGTTGGATTCATGATTAATTAATTAGTTTCTTGCTTCAATGACTAAGGATAATCGTTGCTCAAATTAAGGTGCTTCATTGTATAAAGATCAATAAAAACTCCATACTCGACATGCTTCAGGTGGACAACCCTGTTGTTTGTTTGGTCTTGGTGGTATTTGTTGCGAGTTGCAACCATAGAAGTCACGAAAAAGAGAGAAAATACATGCACATATTCAAGTTTATTCTCCTATGCAATGTGAAGGAACCAGGAAAAGTTTGTCTTATTCTGAAACTAGGGGTCCCTAAGTCCTAGTCAGTTGCTGATTCATGAGTCCCATGATCAAAGTAGGTAAACTCAGCCACAACACAACACAACACATGACACAGTTACACTTCATATAGCTTGTGACAGTTTCAAAATGAAAAGTTGAAGCCAATCACGTTGAGTTACCTCCTATAAATTGGCTGTTCTTCTGAGGCATCATATCATAATCCTTACACATGCAAAACACTTTTTCTCAAGAGACCAACGCCATGAATCTCATTTACGTGAAAACGGGTTACTCTCGCTTGATCACCTACCTGGTTCCCCTGTGCGTGGTTCCATTTATTGGCATCATCATCATCATGAAGCAAGCATCACACATGAAACAAGAAGACATGGACCAGGTGTGGCTCCACTTGCAATGCAACCTTGTCAGAGTCATCATTTGCTGCACCACCATTGTATTTGGAATCACCTTCTACATCATGAGAAGGTCGAGACCCGTTTACTTGGTGGACTTTGCCTGTTACAAACCCCCACCTCATCTCAAGGTGCCATTCTCCAAATTCATGCTCCACTCCACCCTCAATGGGTACTTCAACGGTTCCTCTCTCGGGTTTCAACGTAAGATTCTTGAACGCTCTGGCCTTGGAGAAGAGACTCATCTCCCACAAGCATTGCACAGCATTCCATCGAACCCTTCCATTGCTGCTGCCAGAGAAGAGGTAGAGCAGGTTATGTTCGGTGCCCTCGATGACCTTTTTGCCAACACCAATGTCAAGCCAAAGGACATTAAGATCGTCTTTGTGAATTGCAGCTTGTTCAATCCCACCCCTTCCCTCACTGCTATGATCGTCAACAGGTACTGTTAGATATTTTTTAGCATGTCTACTTACATCTCAATGATATCATTTATAAGATAAACTTTATTGGATATATAACATCTCACTTGGTGCATACTATATAATGTGCATTATACACCATCAGTATATTCAATTCAAAATCTTATTAGTATGATTTTTAAGATGATCATCAAAATTTTCTATAAACACTTGTAGAAAAGAAAATTAAAAAAAAAACAAGTTTTACATAAGTTAAAAATAATTTATGCATAAACTAATTTGTAAAAGTTTTCTTCTATCAACTTCTCTAAAAAGTCTTATTTTTACTTTATGGATAAGTTAGTTTTAGTTTATGAAAAAAATTATTTTAATTTTCTTTCATATTTTACTCTTTTAATAGTATTTCTAAAGTAGATTATCCAAATACGCTCATTTTAAAAGGCAACAAACTTACTGTACACCATAATTTATGATAGAATTGTGTAAAATTGTTTTACATTGACGATTGAGTACTATAAAGAGGAATTGTATGCATAAGACTTGAGCATTTGTGATTTGACTTTTGACATGTTATTAAGTTTCTCTTCTTCATTTTGTAACAGGTAGTCAGGTACAAGAAGGGGTATGACGTGAGGACCTACAACTTGGGGGGCATGGGTTGCAGTGCGGGTATTACAGCCATTGATCTTGCAAAGGACTTGCTTCAGCTTCACGGAAACACTTACGCGGTGGTGGTTAGCACAGAGAACATTACTCAGAACTGTTACTTTGGGAACAACAGGGCCATGCTGATACCAAACTGTTTGTTCCGGCTAGGTGGGGCAGCGATTCTTCTTTCAAACAAATTTTCAGAAAGGCGTCGAGCCAAGTACGAGCTTGTTCATGTTGTGAGAACTCACAATGGTGCAGATGACAAGTCGTTCAAGTGTGTTCATCAGGTGCAAGACGCTGTTGGGAAACTCGGCGTGTGTCTTTCAAGGGATCTCATGGAAGTTGCTGGTGAAGCCCTTAAGGCTAACATCACTGCTTTGGGTCCCTTTGTGCTTCCCATGAGGGAGAAGCTCCTCTTCCTTTGTAGTTTCTTGGCCAAGAAGCTATTTGGTTCTGAGAAGAAGGCTTATTATGTGCCAAACTTCAATGTTGTTTTTGACCATTTCTGCATTCATGCTGGAAGCAAAGCAGTGATTGGTGAGGTTGAGAGGAACCTGAAGCTTCTGCCAAGTGACGTGGAAGCTTCTAGAATGGCTCTGCATAGGTCTGGGAACACTTCTTCTAGCTCCATTTGGTATGAGCTGGCTTACATAGAGGCAAAGGGCAAGATGAAGAGGGGAAACCGTGTTTGGCAGATTGCGTTTGGGAGTGGTTTCAAGTGCAACAGTGCTGTGTGGAAGGCCCTCACACATGTGAAACCCTCACCAAACACTCCATGGGAAGATTGCATTCATAGGTACCCAGTTGCTGCATAAGAGTCTTTTGTTATGAGTCATGAGGGTGGTCTTGTTTCATCAGCAAGAGTATATTGTTATTGACACAGGTCTTGTTTCTACTGCAACCTGCATTACTTGTCATGAATTCTTACCTTGGGTCATTATTATATTTTTATTTTTATTTATATATAATATAAAGAGCAGTTTTTATATGATTGTATTGCTCCATTGAAATATATTGTGCAACACAACTATTTTTATTTTTTGTAAGAACTCATGTATGCTTTGTCACATCTAATCATACTTGAATCAAGTATAACATGCTATGGCTTCTGACTATTTAACCGCTATCTTTCTGAATATTTGTTGTAGTTATATATTCAGGACTAAAATTTGAAATTTCTAATTAAATTAGAACAATAGTTGAGTCATGCACTCAATGTAGCACATTTATTAAGCGATTGTTTTAATTAATTTGGTTTTAGATTTGTTATAATTAAATAGAAGTTTGTTGGAAATTTAATGCATAAAGCCAGCTGCACTTTGTGCTGATATGAAGTATAGAGGAATAGTATTGACGATTCAATGAAGCACGCATGATGCATCGATATCTTTTTTCCAATTAAAAGTATGAAAAAGCAAGAAGCTGCTAAGAAAGTACTAAATAATGCTTCTTATTGTTGCTTGCTAGATTAGAACTTCTCAAATGCGATTTAAATACTGATCAATGAAAAAGCACATGGCAAACCTTTGCAACCAATAAGAAGCATTTTAGTGCAGAACTTCGTTGGTCTACCATGCGAACGATGTGTTAGGATACACATTTTCAACTCACAATTTTTGGTATTTAATTTCCTGTCACATGCAAAAATTACTCAATTTGTAGCTTCTACAAAGACATGGATTAATTGACTGAAGATGTAAGTCCAAACATACATGAAATGTTTTTGTTTGAATCCACGGCTGTACCCCCAAACATGGGTTTGAAATCCCAGCCATGTGTGTTCATTTTTCTTTGAGAAATGCTGACTACTCGAAAATGAGTATCAAAAGAGACAAATGTTTATGACTAGTCAAACTTTTATATTTATCGGTAACACAATTATACAAATACACCTCTTAAAATTGTGTATTTTATAATATATATATATAGAGAGAGAGGGTGGGGGAAGGGATCCTTTTGCTCCGGGAGTAAGTTTACCTAGACTTACTCCGTTCAATAACTCATGTTCTATATCAAATTTCAACGATCCAACCGTTCAATTTAAAGTTCTTAATGCATAAATCAAATCTGTAAATTTATAAAAAAAAATTAAAAATCATTTGATACTTCATTTCATTAATTCAAATTGACGGATAATTATAAAATCGTTTTATACATTTGATAATTATAACTCATGTTCTACATCAAATTTTCAACGATCCAACTGTTCAATTTAAAGTTCTTAATGCATAGATCAAATCCGTAAATTTATAGAAAATTTAAAAATTATTTGATATTTCGTATCATTAATTCAAATCAATGTATAAAACGATTTTATAATTATCCGTCAATTTGAATTAATGAAATGAAGTATCAAATGATTTTTAAATTTTCTATAAATTTGCATATTTGATCTATGCATTAAGAACTTTAAATTGAACAGTTGGATCGTTGAAATTTGATGTAGAACATAAGTTATTGAACGGGGTAAGTCTAGGTAAACTTACTCCTAGAATAAAAGGATCCCTCAAATATATATATATATATATATATATATATATATATATATAAAGAGAGAGAGAGAGAGAGAGAGAGAGAGAGACATAT